GTATTAGATTATGCCTCATTTGCATATTTAAACATAACATTTTAGAAAAAGTGTTTTACAAAATTATAATTGTCTAAACCTAAGTAACCAACTGGGGAAGTGATATCCATTAGTTACTGTTTGTACCCTATTCATCTGGGGTGTCTTCCTTTAATAAGTGAGCAGATTTATCTTGTGACTTGTCACTAACCTAAATCTAATGCTGGCAAAATCAGAAAGATAAATAAAACTCTGGTCCTTCAACAGACACTTTCAAAGAAGTGCGGGAACGAGAGAGAAAGAGAGAGATGTCACTGAATTCGGAGGCAGGAAACACTTATTAGGAGCCTCCCTGTTTATCCCCATGTTTGATTGAATGAGCTGGATACTCTGGGCGTCGACTGCATCTTTATTGTTACTGACACACTGCTAATGGGGAGTCATTTGTCAAGTTGAAGTTTGTTTCATTGAGTTAGTTAGGAATGCGTAGATTTTGGAGTATCCCCGCTTATGTTCTTTTCTTAACAATTTAAAGAGACAATTCAGATTGTTGTCTGGATTACGTGTTTACATTCACGATGTGTTAGAAACCTGCAAAGATGGCTGACGTTTACACCCTGTAAGGTTGTCATTGAGTGCTGCTGACGCTTTTCATGCTAAATGAACCACGGCAAACCGAGGCAATTAATCCAGACTGAATGAGACTGAGATTAGAATTGGTTTACATGAGAAGGAAAAGGATGCAGTTAATTGTTTTTGCAGATGTAATTTCATATTGTGGTTCATTAAAGTAAGTGATCCATCTGGATTTTCATTTAGTCGTGTGTAAGGCCATGCTGTGTGGTATGCATGCGTTTGTAGTATTTATTTGTGCAGTATATACATCACACTGGGGAACAGTCTGATACCGGCCAGTCATTGGGGAAAAAGTGCCCGAAAGAGACTTTCCTCACACAGCAGCTGGATTCTCACGATATCACAAGAATATGCGAAAACCCATCTTGTCATGCTTCAAGTCATGCGTTCACCTGCCAAGTATCATTCATTGACGGGTTTCTCAGATGGTTCTGTGTAATAAAGCAGGTTAGAAAGAGATAGGGAAGGGGGGAAACAAACAGTTTGTGGAACATTTGTGATAAAAAGTAGAAAGAGATTATATCAGATTTAGTCTAAATAGAAATGAAGTTTTCCTGAAAATAAAGAGAAATGTCGCTCTTTTCCACCAACGTTGCAATTCTTACACAACCCCAAGTTTTCTCTTCTGTAAAAAACACTCACAGCTTTATATTACGTAGAGAAAATCCTACTGTGTGGAAACAAATTGAATGATGTCCTATGTCCTACCATGACAACGTGCTGTATAAAGGATATTGTGATTTGCCGTGCGACCAGGGTCAAGCCTTCATTTTCGTCTCTGACCCATATGTCACCTTACAGCTCAACACAATGTAATTTCCTGTACAGGGAGCCACTCTATCCCATTCACGTGTCATTCAGTGTTACAATCAAGGTCAGCCCCCCCCCCGCTGGTCCTCCACACATGTGTGCCTCTTTAGAAAGCGTGATTGTCTGGTCAACACTCACAGGCAGGATCACGTCGCCACTCTAAATGATGAAAGAAGTGGATGTAGCATGTACACACAGAGACGGCTTAAGATCCCCACTAGGCTGTTCACACGTCTCAGTTAATACTGAAGTCTTTTTGAAGGTTTCTATTGGCCGTAGATATAGATGGGTGACAAATCAAAGGAAAAAACAGAATTATCTGTCTTTGTACAATATTGAGCCAACACAAGCCTCCAGTGATTGTTGAGTCGCTAAGAAATACTGGTGCCTACTAGAACCATATAGGGTTCTTCAGCTTTTCCCAGTAGGAGAACCGTTTTTGCTTCCAGGTAAGTAACCCTTTCAGAGAGTTCTTCCTAGAACTCAACATAAAGGTTTGTACCTGGACCCATCTGAGAAAGGTTCTACCCAGAACCCCTTTATGGTGTAATGGTTCCATCGAGAACCCTTCTAAAGGTGCCAACACGAACCCACCCAGGGGGTTATACCGAGAAACCTTTTATATTCCAATGGTTTCATCTAGAACCCACTCAGAGGGTTCTACCAAGAACTCTTTTATGGTCTGAGGGTTTCATATAGAACCCAACTCCAGGGGGTTCTACCAAGAAACGTTTTCATACTCCAAGTTTCATCTAGAACCACCCCTGGGTTCCTCTTGATGTGGTGCAGTGCAACCCACAACAATCATGGTTCACAATCACAGTTTTCGGGTGTTTGGGCTCGGAGGATATTTTAACACCCATGATGTCAACTATCCTTCCAAAAAGTGTTCTTTGGGTTCTTTATTTAACCCATGGTCTTGAAACAATGAAAAACCCTTTCTTCAAAAGAGGGTTCTTCAGAAGCAAATGGTTCTGGGTAGAACATCAGCCCTTCAGGAAGAACCCTTTTGGAACAGTTTTTTCTGAGGGTGTCTCCAAGTCTCTGTAAAATAGGATGTAAACACTTCCTTTTTCATCCCTATTGCCCACTCCTGGGTAAAGCATATGATTCACATCACTAGTCATCAAATGGTGGCCTGTATGGAGGCATCTGTTTGTTCCTCCACTGATTCATTCAGCTTTTTTTTGAAAATCTCCATATTTTCAGAGGCCTTTTCAGCCTTTTGACCATTTTTGAGTTTATCCAACTCATAATTGAAAGCAAAGTTTTGTTTTGTCATATTCCGTTTGTTTATTTTTCTTTCCCGTTATTCTTCAGTTGAGGTTAAAACAATGAAAGATTGACAGCTACGACAACGATAACTTCAAAGGTGGAAGAAAAACGAATTATAACTGCTGATTAATATAGACGCTAAACCACAGGTGAGCTGTAAACAACGACAGCTTTGCTTGACAGGGTGCAATCAATGTCTTTTTCACTGGCAGTAAGTGTTACTGAGCAAAACTTATCATGTCTGAGCTCTAAAGCTCTGAAGATTGGAGCTGCGTCCTGTTGTATCTCCTGGTGTGGTGTTGAACAAGGGAGGTTCTTCCTTGACCCTCTGCTTGAAATCCAGTACTCATCCAATTGACAGTTTATCCCTCAGAGGGATGACTCTGCTTAACACAGAGAGAGAGAGAGAGAGAGAGACCTTACGTAACATTTTAACTCCAACAACACAGTTTTGATCACTGTATTAAAACATATTTGAGTCCATGAACAGCTGATTCATTCACAATTCTCCTGCTTGTATGTTTTTTGTTGTTGTTGTTGTCCATTGAATTTTGGCTTCGTTATGGCTCCGCTCCGGCGCCAGCCGTGGCAGAGGCATCATGTTTTTTGAGTTGTCCGTTCATGTGAACACGATATCTCAGGAACACCTGGAGGGAATTTTTTTCTTTCTTCACCTGGACTCAAAGAGGCACTGACTAGATTCTGGTGCTCCAAGATCAAAGGTCGCGGTGACCTAAATGTCCCCGCCCCATTTTGTGAATGCAGTATCTCAGTCTTGAGGGAATTCTTCAAATTTTGCTTAAACGAACGTCCACTTGGACTCAAGGAGAGGTACTGATTCGATTTTGGTGGTCAAAGGTCAAGATCACTGTGACCTCATGTTCGTCCCATTCGCGTAAACGCGATATTTCAGGAAAGTCTTGAGGGAATTCATATGCTAAATATGACAATTTCACACAAATGTCCAATAAGATAAAATGATGTAGTGATGACATTTTGGACAGACATGGATATAGATTGCGACTTGACTGGGTTGAGGAGGCAAACAACCATGAGGCCGTAATTCTATTTTTTTCCGTGTACCAGTTGTTGCATCTTTCTGGGGCGTTAGCGCATTTGCTGTTGATATAACAGGAAGTAAACCGCTCTGTGCTAGTTTCAGGGGTCATCTTGTTGGCCTGTTGTTCTAAAACACAAGTTATGTGGCCATTTTTTTTCCACCCTCAGGATGCTTTTGTTGTGTAGCTTTAAGGGTGTGTTTTGCATTTACAGGAAGGTGGTGATGTGTGAAACCAACATACAATGTGCCATCTTCCTGGTGTGAATAAAACAAACCCGAAAGCCATTCCATGTGTGTACAGTGTAGGGGGAATAAAAGCAAGAGATTTATTTCTCAATTTACACCGTGCCATCATGCACTTCCACGTCACTGCAGAAGCTATACAGCAGATCCAGTGCCTGCTATCTTCAAAGGGAATCCAGGCATGAAATGTGTTTATGGAGCGTCATAAAGAGTTGAGAGAAGTGGACATTCGGTCTGCATTTGATGCAGATAAAACATAACGGTGGCAAATATGTGATGGTGTGAATCACTTGGGTGAGCAAACACAATCTGCTGCAGCCCAATGCCCTTTTCAGCTTTGGCTTTTTTTTCTCGCCACATAGTTACATATTCATCCGTTCTAACATAAATATCGAACATCTTCCTTTCTCAGAATAGTAACCAGAGTCCACAAATGCCCCACTCCTTGGAAGAGTTGTTTCATATATTTTACACATGAAAACACACAACAATAATACACATATTTTACCTTTGGAAAGCTTGATTATATGTTCTGTACCTGTCCCTTCAAAATAAAGCATTTGGTACACCAAAGTACGGAGAGAGAAAGAGACTCGCCGTGGTTAAGATGTACAGTAGCAGCGTCTTTCTTCTCTAAACACAGTAGAGCGTAATGAATCCTCAAGGGCTCAACAAAGCTGTCATGTTTCCTTAACAGCTTCATCACTTTCTTCCTCCCATAGCTAAGAGGTATGAATAGTTCACAGGATCTTCATGTTTGCAGAGCTGTACATCTCAATAACTGCACACATGAGCGCTACAGCTGAGAAGACAGGCTGAGAGGAAAGTGTTTTGTAGTATGAATGAGAAAAGAATGGCTTCCCCACAAGCTGCTGGTCACATAAACTTCTCAAACCTCTTCCCGTCACAATTATCTAAAGAGTTGCTGAATTCAGATTTCATCGATTTATGCTTCTTGTGTCTCCTCGTCTCTCTCACGCTTCTCTCCTTCCTCCAGTACAAACAAGTGGAGCAGTACATGTCGTTCCACAAACTACCGGCAGACTTCCGACAGAAAATCCATGACTACTACGAGCACAGATACCAGGGCAAGATGTTTGATGAAGAGAGCATCCTGGAGGAGCTTAATGAGCCTCTGCGCGAGGTATGAAAACACACAAGCAGCCACTATAAAGTGCTCATTCACCCCCAAAACACACACACACACACACACACCCACACACACACACACACACACACACACACACACACACACACTTCTCAAATCTCCACCGAGCAAGTGAACTGAACTGGAATTAATTCATTGTTCATCATGCTCAGCTAAGGTGCCCTTGTCTGAACAAAGAAGCCATCATTTCCAGACTTGTCTGTATTGACTCACTTATCAGCTGTTCTTAAAGAGTAACTGCACACTTAAACATGTTGTTTAAGCTATGAATTAAATGACATGACTGTACTGAGTCTTATCAGTGCTGGTGTTCAGTCGCCCTCTAACCAGACCCTCCCTTCTCGCCTCTCCACACATTACCACCGTGTAGCATTAGAATCACAGCACAGTGCAAGCTTCTCCTTTCTGAGAGCTGTAAATTAAGCCATCTGCACATGTGCGTTATGTTAGCTGAAGTGCACACCAGTTTTCACTGAGAAATAACTCGGTTTTTAGAGAGAGGAACAAATGGGTTTAAAGTAATTTTCACACTCTGTGTTCCCAACACTGTTTCCTGCCGTTTATAGTGAGCAAGGTCCTCTTGATTCAAGGACAGCTCAAAGTACCATTCAGGTAACAGAAAATGAAGAGACGAATGAGCAGTGCCAGGGTCACTCAAAGTAATTCATGAAAGTCTGCTCAGAAAATAGTGTTTTTGTTATCTGATTATCTAACCCTTTTATAACATTAAACATTGATCATTATGACTACGTATCAGGGCCATTGAAGGTAAATCTACCACTTAGATTTGCCTGTAAATGTTCACATGTAAATGTTATTTTTTTTACCTACAATGGCATGATGTTATAGATCAATTCCTTTTTCCAAATAACATTTTTTTCTAACTCATGTGTTGACTCTAAATCAACCGTGACATTTCTAGTTTTACAAGTCGCTCTTGCTGAAATGTCAATGCAGAACCCCCCCCCCCCAAAAACAAATAAAGCTAAATCTTCTCACCTATTTTCCACAACTGATTGTTCCTTCTGATGTTGGAATATTGATGCAGTGTAACTTGTTTTAGCAATGGTGCACTGCCGCATGGACTACAGATTGAGGCTTTTATAGTGACACGTGATCCACTGCTGTATTCCCGTTCAAATCTAGGAAATCGTCAACTTCAACTGCCGTAAGCTGGTGGCCACCATGCCGCTGTTTGCCAATGCCGATCCCAACTTTGTGACAGCGATGCTGACCAAACTGAGATTTGAAGTTTTCCAGCCTGCAGACTACATCATCAGAGAGGGCACCATCGGCAAGAAGATGTACTTCATCCAGCACGGGGTCGTCAGCGTCCTGACCAAAGGAAGCATCGGCATGAAGCTGATGGACGGCTCCTACTTTGGAGGTACGTCCCTGTCTTTGTCACCTCGGGAACATCAGTTACTGCTCTATTCTACTCTGTTCTGTTCTTAAATTCTACAGTTCTCTTTTGTTCCATTCTGTTCTCTTCCAGTCTTCTCTGTTCTGTTATATTCTTTTGTTCTATTCTGCTCTGTTCTGTTCTATTCCATCTAACAGAGTAGAATAGAATAGAAGTGAATAGAATAGGATAAAGCAGAAAATACAAAATACAGAAAATATAGTAGCAGCATCAAATACAACATTTATGTTATGTTACACATTCTACTCCATTCTATTCTTTCCTGTTCTGTTCATAACATAATAGAATAGGTCAGAACTGAATAAAATAGAACAGGAGGATAGAACAGAACTCTATTCTATTATATCCTGTACCAGAGTTTACTGGCAGTAATGTCGATGTACAGGCTACCCAGAGTTGCACATTCACATACACGTCGCACATCCAATTAGTAAGAGCTAATAAGCACAGCACAACGCAGAAGACGGGGGGCATTTGTAATGTCAAGTATAGATTTTTCAGAGCCGTCGCTGCCACCAAGGAGGAAATCAGAGGTCTCTCCTCTTACTCAGAAGTAGCAGTGGGCTTGGATTGGAGGACAATGTGGTTTAACCACCGCAGTGTGTGTTTGTGGTAGAATCTCTCAATTAGTAAGTAGACGGGGATGTCAGGCCAAACATATGACTTTGCTCCAACTTGTTTGCATAAGTGATTGGGAACATCAAGTCCCAGATGTATACATGTTGTAATATTTGCATTCTGTAACGTCACATGTATGTACCGGCTTGTACCACATTTTTGTACACATTTCTCATTGGCAAACTCCATTATTGTATTGATACATTTGGTAAGACAGAGGCAGAGCTTTGCAGACTGGATTTCATGGCTGTAAATGTAGCTGAGTCTGCAGCTTAGCCTTTGGCTCTTTTTTCTTTCAAAATTGCAATCTGGATGAACAATGCACACAACACTTTTCCAGCCACAGCCATCAGACACATCAGCATTTATTCAGTATAAATAACTGCTTGAAGCTAGATTGGATTTGTTGAAAATACTGGAAACTGAGTTTTGTTTTTTTTGCACATTCACCGCCGTGATTATCAGTCTGCACATGTTTGTGTTGCTGCTGTTGTGACTGGTGAGCTGCCAAAGCTTTCACAATATGTCGCCTCAAAGTCACTTTTATTTCTTTATATTAAAAAGATTTATCTCGATGATTACAGATAAAGAGCTTATATATTAACTGGTTAAATGAACCAGCATATATATTCAGAATCTAGAAGATTTGAATAAGGGAAATATCATGTTTATATTGGTACACAGGTTTCCCTGTGAACATATCAGGTATAAAAACTGAAGAAAAAAGTTGTGGATATTTTATTTTCTACGGATGGGAACAGGAAACAGCGCATCCCAGGCTAAAGGAAAAAGTTAAACTAGTCGTGACCCCAAATAGTGCTAATATTCACTCTACCCACCCAGGACTTCTCTGTATTTTTCATCATTTTTGAGGATGACATCTGCAAGGCTACAAATGGTCACCCAGTGGTTTGAACAGCTTTCTAATGCAGCCCCGGTGGTTTCATTAGAATATTATTCTCTCCCGCACATCCCCCTAATAATGCCAGCAACATGTAAATGCTTGTGTTATGTACTGTATAAGCTCAAAGTGACAATTTATGAAAGGTCTGGGGCTTGATGTGGATTCTGAGGAGAGATTTTCCACAACTCTTACTAAACTGGAATATCTATAATGCTTAAAACTTAAACTTCACTTCTCTAACATGACTGGGCGAAAGCTATGGAAGAAAGGAAACTCACAATAATGCCATTACTACATGACATTGTTCTGCCTAAAGGAGTTCATACAGTACATCACCCCACAGCTTTACCTCCATTACAGCAGCCGACCATGAGGATCACGCAGTAGAGCATCGATCCATCTATAAGCGTCGGCTATTAATCATTCATCTACAGAGGAGCTATAAATCCTTAATTAGATAGGCAGAAAACATGGTCACACTCAAGGTCGCACTTAAATAATCTCTGAATAAAAAGCAGCTGGTGAATGTACTGTATGTACAGTATCTGATTCAAAGAGACAGTGTAGTGTTTACATGCAAAAGAGGACACTAATAATATCTGGCAGTTGTCCTTTCATCATGGCTAATCTCACGATTTTTTTGCCCTTAAACTACATTTGGTAACTATAATAAAAACAACCTTTTTGTCATATTTGCTCTCACTGCTACTGGATCCTGACAGAAATACATGAGACGGATCTTCTGTGAAAAACTCTGATTCCTCTGCCTCCTTTAAGTGCCCCTCATGGCGTTTGCAAGATACTGCCGCTCCCAAAGGAAAACAACCAATCAGAGCCAAGGAGCCTCCAACGCAGCTGTCAATCACTCCCCGCGGAGCTTGTGAAGTTGGAGACTCCTCAGGGCTGATTGGTTGTTTTCCGTCGGGTGAGGTAGAATCTTGCAAATGCCATTAGGAGCTTCTGAAGGAGGCAGAGAAACCTGATTTCTCCACTGATTATCTGTCTCGTGTTCTACTGTCAGGATATAGCGACAGTTTGAGCAAAAATGACAAAAAGTCCTTTTTTATAAAAGTTACCAGCTGTAGCTTCAAAAGTATAGACATATTCGAAAATGCACTCATCTTCTTTGTTATCGGGATATAGATGAGAGGATTAATACAGCTCTGTACTGTAAATATGAATCTAGAGCCAGCAAATGGTTAGCTTAGCATAAAGAGTGCAAACAGGGAAACGGCCCGCTTGTTATCTAACTCTCGTCAAAAAAGCAAAGTAGCTTTTCTTCCTAAATTAAACTAGCTCGCTAATGAACACTTACAGAAACTTGTTATATTTGTACTACTGTTTAAAGACAAGCATAGGTTTGTGTGTCAGTGTGCAGCGCCCCGTTTGCAGCTGCACATGCTTAGGGGCTCAGTGTAGCGCCCCGATGCATATCCTTAATGGAGTCTCCTCCCGTTTCGTTATTTTTCTCCCTTTTCCCCCACAGAGAGTCAGAGGAGGTCGACCTTTCAGGCAGGAGAAAAGAGGAGGGCATACGGTTGTCAAGACAACAGTCAGCCCCAGCCGATAGAAGAAGAGGAGAGCTAGAGAGATAAAGATACTAAAGGGGAAGGGGAACAACTGAACGTAATGAAGCTTAGCTGCACATCTCCAAATATAGAGTGTGCTTCCTTCACACAGCTGTCTGTGCGTTGCACAGGGCTGGAGGAAACACTCCTGTCAGTGGGTCGTACTGGCTACACACACAACCATTCATTCTGACCACACATGTGCTCAACACATCTCTCCTTATATACGGTACCTCTGTTCTTTTCACTGTCGCCGTCTGACACCCAGGACTCTGTCGGTCTGTGAATCTGACCGTCTGCTGTCTGCTGTCTCTCACCTCACCAGAGATCTGTCTGCTGACCCGTGGCAGACGGACGGCCAGTGTGCGAGCGGACACCTACTGTCGCCTGTACTCTCTCTCTGTGGACAATTTCAACGAGGTCCTGGAGGAGTATCCCATGATGAGGAGGGCCTTTGAGACGGTTGCCATTGACAGATTGGACAGGATAGGTAAGACTGCCATCTGGTTTGTTAAACTGGTGGTTACTTTTATTTTGTTTCTGTGAAGTGAATGAAGTGTGTTTCGTTGATCAGCGAGGTAAAATGACTGATGTCTGACTGGAGCCTGGTGGCTTTGAGGACAGCATATTAATTGTATGTTTTTTTTTTTTACATTAATAAATCATAATAATTGTCCAAATCGTCTTTACATCCAGACCTAATTTATGGGTGATTTAGTCACGGATAATTGGCATTACGACTCCCCGATGAAAGCCACAGGTACGGCGTCTTGTCTTCATAAGCACATGAGTCATTCATAAGATGAATTGAAGCATAAGGAAAATGTATTCATCCATTCAACTCGATGTCTCTGTCAAAACACTGTGTTATCTGACAGCTGTGATTCTCTGAATGAATGATCCGAAGGAGGACGACGTGTGCGGTGGAGGAAAAGGAAGTCAATGGGGAAAATGATTCATGGCTGTGAATCATTTTATTATCTAGCGTCTTGATCGGTCGTGGAAATTGAATGCTTCCAGTGGATATTTGCCATTTTGAAAACAGTTATTTAACATGTGTGACACTTGTTAATTACCTGGCAGATACCGCTGAGCAGTATGATTTGTTTTGTGCCTCTCTACTCTCTCTAGATTCATTTACTGATTTGTTTTACTTGCACGCAAACATGCAGAGAGACTGCTTTGTCTAAGCCTTGGGATCCCCTTGTTAACGAGTAAACACAAACATGTTATTTTTCTCCCCCCCCCCCCCCCCCCCGAGGTCAGAAATGCTGCCAATGTCGCATCTCCCCCGGCACATGACCACACTTCACAAAGTTGACAAAAGCCCTGCATCTGCCACCTGCCAGCTGTTGCCATAGCAGCCAGATTCCACACATGAGCAGGATTCAGTCAGCAGGCTCACATATTTGGGGGGCGGGGGGGGGGGAGACTAACGTGTCTGCTTCAGGACCAAACCACCGACCAAATATTCCCACTCCGGCTCCATGTGCGCTTGATGAATGTTATAATAATGTGTTCTTTTGTTGGTCAACAGTGTTTGTAAAAAACAAAAAGACATCTGGATCGTACACACTGAGGGCGATCAGAGCCCAAGAATATGAAATATAAAATACAGACTCGCAAATAGTGACAACAGCTTTGATCCTGTCAAGCGTAAAGAGAGACGTTGGATGCATCTCCATAAGGTGCTTATTTTAAAATCTCAATCTTCATTTGAAAACATCAATGAAATGTTTTAGTTCCATCACATTTAAGATTTCTGTTGTTGAGCTTATGTGACCAGGAGTGCTTGTTTAGGACCAGTTCAGCCTGACGTACCATAATGACTTGTGTTCTATCTATTTCTATAGAAACAGTCTCTGACCTGTGAGCCGTTCCTACATAGAGATGGATTATCCATCGTCCATTGTGTTCGTACCCTTATTAATGCATCACATTGTAAACACACGTGTGACATAAGATCAGCAGAACAAGATTCAAGGGGTGATGGTGGTGTTCATTTATTATGAATAGCAGGCTCTGTACTGAGCCCCCATCAAATGCAGGTACAATTGTCGAAAACGCACACCAGAAAGATAAGTTTAGTAAGATTAACATATGATTGGACAAAGCTACACTTACTCGCAGCTGCTCTATAAAAGCAACGCTATTGGCCGTAGAAACTTATACACTTTGATCGACAGTCGAAGTTCACCAAATTCTAGCCAATAACCATAAACAAATTACGCACACGCACACAAACATGCCTTTACCAGCTCTCGTTTCAATTTCGCCTGAAGGAGCAGCTCAGTGCGAGCGTAGCGAGAGAGTGACGGTGGGTTCGCTCAGGCAGCAGAGAAGAAATTAGCAGTAAAGTTTTTTAGTGGAAGTCGATGTACAGTGAAGGTTTCAGTTTGTCCTTGAATAAACACTACAGCTCCCCAAGAGCCAAGTTCAGTTCCCATGTCTTGCTTCAAAACATTACAACGGGGAATATTTTTTTCTGTTTCTTTGTTGTCCAAGGCTAAATATTTTCTGTATAATTTGACAGTATATTTTTGCTCTTAGGTGGGCCCGTTCATGTACGCCCATGCTTGTGTACTGTACCTTTCTACCCCCCCCCCCCCAAAAAAAAAAAAGAATAGGGCCCCCCAAAAGCCACGCTGTAATTCAAACACGGGAATTTACCATGAATGTTTTTTCAGTAAATATATTGAACATTGAATGACAACAGTCTTTCCATTAAGATGTCCAGATGATTAAAATGTTATTCCTTAATTTAGCGCATTGATTTCAAAAGTGGCAGACAAAATAAAAAAAAAAACTAGAATGATTAGGCACAACTGATGCGAAAGAGGCAGGCGCCCCCCCCCCCCCAAGATGGACCCAAGACTGGGTTGGTGCTACCTCTGTACCTGTTTCTCGCTTGCTCAGGAGGAAGTGTACTTAAAAACCACAAATATCTACGAATACGACCTAAAGGTGCTCCTTGAGGAAGAACTCTCTCAACCTTATACCCAGGCTTTTCCATGCTGCAGGACAGCGAATGGGTATTCTTCTGCCTCCTCGCTCTAAACCCTGAGAGGCGACATCGTCATCAAGCCTCAACTGTCTGTGTTCGGTCCACAGATGGAACTCATGCAGCATGTCAGGAGGGCGCAGGAGTCACCACAGTCTGGATCTGCCTCCTCCCGTCCTTCTCCTTCTGGCCAGGCTTCAAACTGTGTGAGAGAGGGACGAGTTCATCACCCGCCTTTTTTGACCTCTTTGCTACGCGGATATCACTCAGGCTGTTGTGCTGACTAATGCTGTGTTCAATGTGTTCAAGACAAAGACTCAAGGCCACTCGAATGGAGCGATGCGAAAATGCGAAATTTGCCTGACGCTGTGTCTTTAAAGCCTATCAGCGTTGAGATGCCTTTACTGTCATCGATGACGTTCTGCCGTTGTGGAATCAGGAGTGTTGATGGAGCCGCTACAATGTTAGCATAGCCCTGCACCGATCGATCGGAGCTCCACTGGGAAAACAAATATTTTAAGTTGTTTACTTTTCATCATCTGAACCTCAGCGGGAATACGGAAGGGCAACCCATCTGATTCAACGTTCTTCTTTTCTTTTTAACTGATTGAAGGACACAGCTGACATGTCGAGGGTGTGTTTGCCTCAACTTGCCACTAGTTAACTCCTCATCACACGTCAAAGAAATGGATTCCCTGGTGAGACAGAATCATTCACCAAATAGGCGTCCTTCTCTCTTTTCATCAAGAGGGGATGTGTCTCCGTTTACCTCCTCCATCACCCTTTCCTGGTCATTACGTCAGAGAGGAAGAACTTGTAAGTTTAACTCGCAGCAGGTTTCAGACGCAGCAGTCCTCTAACACACTCATCTTATTTACCTGACAGCGTTGAGAGCCCAGGGGGTTTGAACCTCACCGCTTTGTGACGCACACTCTGTTTTCTTTCTCCGCCACAGCCGTGATGAACCATGAGAGATTAGATAGGATGATTCTCTCTCACACACTTCCCTGCTGGGACGTCTCTAGCCACCATTACCTCGCCTGGCTAAAGACGTGCAACATGCTTTTTCCAGGACTAAGTGGATTTTCAATCCAATTTTCAGCCCAATTGGTGACATTACTTCAGAGGGCTTTTGCAATCTGTACAACATACATCATCTCCTCTAGACTATCAGAGAGTGCATCATCTAATCACAGAGGTAGTACACCCATAGAGGCATAAATAAAGAAATGGTTCGGCAGCAGACATGCTCTCTCGCATTGTCAGAACTAACTCTGCAAAAACTCTTTCCTCATATCAGGGAGTCGGTGCAAAATATAATGTATTTCTCTCTCTATATGTGTGTGTGTGTGTGTGTGTGTGTGTGTGTTTGTCAGTGATGGATTCTGTGCATGGAGAAGATGTCAGATAGTTCCATACATAGGCTACACTATCCACCGTAGCCAGGAATAGAATAAAGGATGACGGTAAACAGTGAAACTGTTATTTCTGTGTCTAGTAAGAATTGAATGAGAATAAAAGAAGGAAGGATAATACTATGGGACCAAACTTTGCTTGTAAAACTTTGGCTGTTTTTCTGTCTCCTTGTCATTGCAGGCAAGAAAAACTCAATCCTGATGCACAAAGTTCAGCATGATCTGAACTCGGGTGTTTTCAACAACCACGAGAACGAGATGATCCAGGAGATAGTTAAATATGATCGGGAGATGGTTCAGCAAGTTGATGTGCCGCGACCGAGGGCCATGTCCGTGTCATCTCCTCTCCACGGTGGGATCTTTAATTCTCCAGGTTCCTCCACCCTTCCCCAGAATTCAGCAATTGGCACTCTGCAGCAGGCCGTAGCCATGAACTTTTGTGCCCCCATGCAAGGGAACTCGATGGGAGCGGGGAACCTGCAGTCCCCCAGGATGGTGAGGAGATTCCAGGTGATGGAGAGTGTGTCCAGCCCACTGCAGTCTCAGTTCCTTGCTTCTGGTGCCTTTGCTCCCGTCCTGTCCAGCCCTCCTGTCCAGAGTCCGCTGGCACTTGGAGGACGGTCTTTCCAGTATGGATCCGGTGCCCTGGCTGGTCCCACCTCAGGCTCCCAGCTTTCTCTAGCCCAGCAGCACATGGCCAGCCCTGCACACCGGCCCAGCACACATAAGAGTACTCACTCCTTGCAAATGAGCAGTTTGAGCCAAGACGCCAGGGCACTGTCAGCCTCTCAGCCCTCACTGCCTCATGAGGGGGCGCAACCAGGTGCCCCTAGTCCCCCCCAGTCTACACGAGTCTCCTCCACTTCCATTGGACCCCCTCAGACCCCATTAGGTCACACAGGCTCCCGGAGCGCTATACCACATAGGGTGGTACTGCCCCATCAGATGTCTGTTGGGTCCCTGCCTGGTCCTGTGCAGGGTTTTGGGGCTGGTGCAGGGCTGGGAGAAGGTGGTGCAGGAACAGGTCTGGGGGACTCGGGACTACCCAAGAAAGACTCTATAGTGAGCCTTCCTGAGACAGACAACATCAAAATCAGATCCAGGCTATCCTCAAACTTGTGATCTTAATTAAACTCCTGTGGGGGAGTGACTCAGCGAGGGGCTTGACTGCAGGAACACGGGGGGGATTTCTGCTCTTTCTCCTAAAGTTCCTCTTCTCTCTCCACTCCAGTTTGACTATCCAAATGTATGAACGCTGAGTGAGTGACAGCAGGGAGAAGACTGTTCTCACATAAAGTCTGTATGGTGACTTTTGAAACTGCAGCATTGAGATGTTTCTACTCACAGGAATAGTAGTTGCACAGTAGTGGTAAAGTAGCATCTCCAACTCCTTTATTTACTGTGTTTTAGTCAACAACATATGGGTATATCTATAACTCATCAACCCTGTTTCCAGTAGCAAAAGGCAGCAGTTTTCAGCAAGAAAAGCCCCCTTAAACCCCATGATGTGAGACCTGCACATTTAGCAAGCCAAAGAAACAGATATTCTTTGGTTGGTGTCGACTAAACCAGATCTAAAAGACGAGTAAATACATAGAAATAGGTGACCAGAGAGTCGGCTCCAGTTGGATTGTAGAGTTGCTCGTGTCTGCTGGATGTGTAAGTAGCCGTTTCTTTGGTAACTCGTCTGCCACAACAACTTGATGAAGTAATTATATGTCGGGGCTGTCAGCTTGTGTTTTGTTTACGTTGCCCCAAGTGGCCAAAAACTAATTAATGCAGCTTCAAGATTCAGGAGTTAATAACAAGATCCAATAAAAGTATACCTGACGAAAAGACACTTCTACTCAACAGCAGATGTGGTGTCTGAATTAAGGGGTTTAGTCATGCGAGTAGTAACATCCGACACTTTGTGAAAAGTATTCTGTTGTATCTTTAGAAATTATAATTCACTGCCAGGTAATTACTAAAGAATTTTGTACGACTCAAAAAATATAAATCCATTCAAACTCACAAAATCAAAATCATTTATAAATGCATTCTTTTCTAACCCAGAATCCCACATTTCTTGTAGCAGCAGTTTGGGCAACGTGTCACTATGCCAAAAAGTCACACAGATGAGGAAACTTCACCTTAATGTAAACGCTGCAGCTTTCATCAACAGCCGAGGTACCTTGCAGGATGTATATTGCTGTGTGCCTCTGTCATCAATGCCTCGATAAGAGTCCATCGGATACCGCTGGTTTGTGTCCAAAAGCGTTGTAAAAAAGGGAACCTTTTCTCCCGGACATGTCGTTCCATTCACCTCGTCTCATTAATGCCTGCACCATTACTGGGTAATGAGAGTGGGAATTGGAATCCCTCGGGTCTGTTTGGGACTATTAATATTCTCCTTCGATTGGATTTCATTATTCATTGCCAGTGATGAGTTCCTCCTCCGTGATCGTTTTGCATTTTAATGTTTTACTTTCAGTTCCTGCGTTGTTATCCACCTTGAGAGTTCTGGATGGGACAGAGTTGAAGGTTTGTAAGTATTTTTATACAGTGTTTTTGAGGTCTGTTGTGTTTTTGTTTCATGCCCCGTGGAACCTATTTGGATCCTCGGAAATAATTAGCATAGAGGCTCGTTATGAGAATAGTGTTTTACTGAACTTCACGTTGTGTCGTGGAGTTTACTCTCTTAGGACAAGAAATGCATTTAGTGACAAACTAAGTATGTAGACATTTTTTACTTCATTAGAAGGCCCACAATACAGGAAGACAGGATGAAATGCGGCAGTAGCTAAACCTTAATCACAAGCAGATAATAATAACTCAAGTGCAATGATCCTTAACAACCACACCATTTCAATAAATGCTGACGAATGAACAGAGTGAAACCAAAGTTACATTTTTTGTATGCAAGTGTTTCAAAATGTCAAGATGTGAATGACTTGTCAGCGACTGATTCATCCTCACTAACTCAACGTACCAATCAGAGAGTAGTACACTAAACATATTCAGTCATATTTTACAGCAATAGTTGTTTAATAAAAGAGTAAGATGAAGTACTGTTGTATCCTTGAGGTGTTGATGGAGCTGCAATATTTGACCTTTGGATTCAATATTTGACCTTTGGATTCATTTTGTCTATTAGTTTGAAGTCTTTTAGGAAGAACTTAAACAGATGTTCAATTTATATCTGCGCTCTTTGCTTACAATGACTTGAGTGACATGGTTGTTATTTCTGTGTGTAGACGTCATGTAAACCAGACTATTTATTTATTTAGCCTAGTTTACTGTAACTGTAGACATACGGAAAATGTTTGAAAATGGAATATCTTTTTAATCTTTGACGAAATGCATATTTATCATCTGGTTTGAACAGATATTACTTGATCATATAATTAAAGCAGAACAAAACAGTTTGCATTACAACAGATGTATCACTTCTTTTCCTACAGTCGCTCACAGTACCGCCCACCGTCTGTATAATCCTGTGCCAGTTGCTGTGAGATCTGCATGGTTTTTTTTCTATTGTGTATGTTTTATTTGTTTATTTAGTAATCTAATCTCATACTCCAGTCCATTTGCAAGTCTTGGTGCTTTGACCAACGCTGCTTTCTGACTTTTTCCCCTTTTTATGTCTAATTAGCATGTTGCCCAAAACTCTGTAAATGCACTTTTCTCTCTTTTTGCGACTTTACAAACATATTTAGTGTTATGTAAATGTTACAACACCGCAGCTGTTTAACATTCTTAGTACACCTTCCATGCTTTGGGAGGGATGGCGTCTGTACCACACGCACACACACACACATGCGGAAGCAACAACATCCACTGAAGTATTTGTGTTTGCCAAGTTGTGAACTTTCAAAATGCTTTTTTTCAAAGATTTTCTTCATGGATCCTAATTTTTCCTGTTGCCAATGCTACAGCTTCTCCAGAGTTCAAACTTTATTCCATCCCAACGTGTCTTTGGGTTCATCAGTGACGGTAAAGCACAGAGATTCAGAGCGTAAGGGCTGCTCATTTGGATTGAGCAAAGATGTGATTTTTGGTCTCTAACTCACACAAGTGCATTCATGCAGATGAATTCTCTCTTACTGACAAATAACGACACGTACAGAAACACTGAAAAGACAGATTTTTTTTTTAATACTAGTTGTTTCTGTATTTAAAAACAGCGATCATTCGGAACTAGTTTGTCATGTCCTTTACATCCCTGCTTTTTGTTGGCCGAACTCTTTCTTGCTTTCTTCATCAGATCCCAGACCCGTAAGTGACATTCAATAATACAGTGACCGAGTACAAAGCTAACAACAATTCCAAAACCAAATCATACCGAAGCACTACAGGCAAGATAATGTACACTGAGGTCTTTAACGGTAATCATGATTTCCCTTGAATCAAACGGGCAATCTCAGGCAGTCGCTGTTTGTGCAATCAGACGATAACTGTGCAGTAGATGAGTTTCTGCGTGAAGGATCAGATTTTCTTTTACTGAGCCACGCTACCGTCGTCACATCCCATTACATGTATTGTGCATACCTGGTGCCTAGCATATATACTGTAGTCTCCGCATACATGGACAATATTCTTTGTGTATGTGGCTGTAAAAAATGAAAGCAAGCTCCTCACAATACAAACATCGCTCTCACTTAAATGAGTTAGCATATTGGAAAAGCAGAAAAAGATCATGGTAATTTTGCATATTCTTGATAGAAGCAAAACCTCTTAATGCAATAAAGGAACGTGATGGTGAATGTCTCTGCTTTCTGTTAGTCATGACATGATGTGTCAAAGTTATGATGGCCTCTGAATCTTTGTTATTGATTGTTTACATTTAATATCATCTGATTATCTGCCTGATTATCAATATAAGAAATACCCTTCAAATGCAGTAAAAGATTGCAATATTACTTGTGTGGTACATTGGATTCATATGTTGAGTGTTTAAATGCTTTGATTATGAAATGTGACATTTTTCAAAGCCTTCGTATGGGTAGTTGTTCATATTTTAGAATGCAACTGGTTATATCTTAATAAAAAAGCCTTTAAAAACGTCTTAATGTTATTGTATTGTATGGCATAAAAAATCAAAAGAAAATCCATAATATAGTATAGCGTCATAATAAAGTATGCCATATAATGTAATTAAAAAACTATTTTATGACTTGTTTTTGCTAGGGCATACAGTGCTATGATTTGTAAATTGTCTTTCATGACATGCCATGACTTTTTTAAATGTTTATGGCAAAAAGTGCTACGACTTTAAAAAAAACGTATTTATGACATACATATGACATTTCAATAACATCCCATGAAGTCTTTAAAAAGTCATATTTTAGTAAGCCATAAAAATCATAGTGTAGTAAGTCCTTAAAATGTAATAGTATAGTATGTCCAAATAAAGACATAGTATGCAAAGTAAAAATGTTAACAAATAAGAAATCATAATATAGCATGTTATCATAAGTCAGTCATAGTATGCCATAAAACAAATTGTAAGTTATGAAAAGGTCAGAAATAGTCAAAGGATAGTACGTCATTAAAAGTAATTAAAAAGACAAAGTACAGTACGGCGAAAAATAAAAAAGGTCATAGTATAGTTTCCATACTATGACCTTTTTTGACATAGTATAGTAACTATGACTTCTTAAGACTTTCTTCGACATACTATACTATGACTTCTTTCGACATAGTATGTCGAAAGAAGTATATTGAAAAAAGTCATAGTATGGTATGTTTTTTTAAAGTTATAGTATAGTACTATATGTCAAAAAAGTCATAGACTATATAATAATTATAACTATGCAGTAAAGGAAACACTTTTCTCTTTGAATTGATTACAAATGACAGCCAAAACCTCAAGATAGAGATTTAAACAAATAGTTGTTTTTTTTCTTTAATATCTGGCTTAGTTTTAATGATCAAATAGTAATCAAATAATCGACAAGTCCGCTGATAAGGCATTCCAAGAGTGCTATTTTGTCTAAGTTGCAGGTCAGGCTGCAGACACAGCTGGGACTGATGTCTCAAAAGGAGAAACTGGAAATACATCAAACGCCTGTTGAGTGAGACGCCATCAAAAGGCTTAAATGCAGATGGCGCTCTTTATTTAGTACTTTCTGGATATAACTTAATGGCTATTTCACCACAGTAAAAGTTCAAAGCTTGACAGAGCTATACATCTCCTCCGAATAAATAATCAAAAGAAATATTTTATAATTTTTTTAAATATTTTAAAGAAACGCATATTTTATAGATTTAAACATCTAAAGGGAGGCCCTCTTTAAAAAACAACACTTCGACACCTTTCTTCTAATCATGTCCAGTTCACTGAAGCAGCGCTGCATCAGGCACCAGATGTGTGTGCACTGTGTGTGTTTGATGGTTGTTAATCAACCCATCACTACCTGTCAGTCAGAATAAAGATCAAACAAAGGAAACTCACACACACACACACACACACACACACACACACACACACACACACAC